AAACCTCCGAAGAACGGTTGCAGTCAAATGAAAAGGACCAGGGGAGACATGATAGCAGTCTTCCAATATCTCAGGGGCTGCCACAAAGAAGAGGGAGTCAAGCTATTCTCCAGGGCACCTGAGGGTAGAACAATAAGCAATGGGTGGAAACTAATCAAGGAGAGAAGCAATTTAGAACTGAGAAGAAATTTCCTAATGGTGAGAACCATTAAATGGTGGAATGGTTTGCCTCCAGAAGTTGTGGGTGCTCCAACACTGGAGGTTTTTAAGAAAAGATTTGACAATCATTTGTCAATTAATTAACCCAGTTACAGTTCAATTCCGTCTACCCAGAATTCTAGGGAAAATTTACCCAGTATTTCATTATAGCTTGTTGAAGCCAGTAATTGAGTGCAGCATAAGACTGTCCACCCAATCACCCCCTCCTCCTGTAGTGATAGAAGGGGAAACACATTATGAGGTGAAAAAAATCTTAGACTCCCGGCTGTATAGGGGTCGCTTACAATATTTAGTGCATTGGGAGGGCTACCCTTTGTCCGAAGCTACTTGGGTGAAGTTAAAGTTCATGATCTTGCCCCCACACCCACAAGGCCATCACATGGTCCAATCTTCCACTGCCATGCTGGCAGTTCCACCCATCCAGTTCTGGTCAGGTGCAGAGGCACCAAGACAAAGGATGACCTTGGCAATCTAGAAAGGAATTTTATTTTGGCTACATAACATTCCACTCCGTACCATTTCCCCCCTCCCAATTCCCCACTATCGAAACAACATAGTAGAATAGTGTGTGGCAGGCCAAAGATCCAAAAGGAACATGGCTGCGGGCCTGACACTAAAATGGTGTACGGTTTCTTGCCAGAGCGGGGGGCTGGACTAGAAGACCTCCGAGATCCCTTCCAAATCGTTTATTCAGTTATAATGCCTTTTCTTGATATCAACGAGTAAAGGCTGTCTTATAATTCTGGGCAGAACATCCAGGAAATGGATGAATCTGAAAAACCGGAAAGTCCAGTTGCCTCTTTAAAAAAGCAGCTTTGGGACATCCAGGAAATAGCAATCAGATGTTCGGGATGCCGATTCGTTCTGTTAAGTGTTTTTCTCATGGGCCTCGGGTGCTCCCTCACTGGAGATGCGTTTGTCATTTCTGCAGATCTTCGGAAGCTGTGTGAGAGTGAAAATCACCCGCAGGGAAGGACAAAGCAGACTGAGCAAAACGGGGCGCCTCCAGAGAGAGCGAATAGCGTTGCTCTACCGTGTTACGACCCAGAAGAGACCCTTGGGGGACAGGAGGGAGTCTATCGCATGGAGGGGAGTCCGTTCATCATCAATTACGAGCAGGACGGCAGAAAAGCAGAAATCATTGTCTTCTGTTCAGACACGCAGAAGGAGAAAAGAAGAAAGCAGTGTTTGGTCTGCGGGAAAAGCTTCACGCGAACCTCAGCCCTTAACCGGCACGAAAGGATCCACACGGGGGAAAAATCATACAGATGTTTCCAGTGCGACAAAAGTTTCTACGATAAGACAGCCCTGAAAAGACATGAAAGAACCCACAATACCGATCGCGGGTATCCTAATGTCTCTCACGCCCAGCCGGGCGAGAATTTACCTCACCTTCCTCCCTCAGACAAAATTGCACAGAACTTTTGCAGCGAGTGTGGGAAACAATTTGAGAGCGAACTGGACCTAAATGTACATAAAAGAATTCACCAGGAGCCGAATCCCAGCGGCAGGACAGAGAGTGGAGAGACATCTGGGAAAACTCTGGAGCCAGGGAAACTTGCCCCACAGAAATCCTACAAGTGTCTGGTGTGCGAGAAAAGCTTTGTTTGGGGCTCATCGTATCACAGGCACAAAAAGATCCATTTGAAGAACAAATCTACCCCACTTCCGTATGAAAGGAAAATCTTCAAGCAAGGGTCCCATATCATGAAATTTCAGTCTTTCCCCGTCGGAAAGAAACACTATAAATGCCCCGAGTGTGAGAAGAGTTTCCCGGCACTCAAATCCTTGGAAAAACATAAAAAACTCCACCAGAGAGCGAAACTAAAAAGCTCTTCGCAACCGGCAGCTGACGCAAAAGACAAAACCTGTTCGGATTGTGGGAAGTTCTTTGATCGGCTGTCCCACCTAAAAAGGCACCGAAGGGTCCATACGGGCGAGAAACCTTACAAGTGCCCGAAATGCGAGGAGAGTTTCATGTGGCAGGCGGCTTTCGAAAGACACCTGAAGGTCCATAAGAAAGAGAAGCCGACACCTCCTGTGCCAGCGGTGTCTGTTTCGCAGGAGAAACCTAATCAGTGTTCGGCATGCGGGAAGACGTTCAGACAGCACTCGGACCTCATGCAACATGCGCGGGTCCATACTGGTGAGAAGCCCCACAGATGTACGGAATGTGGGGAGTCTTTCATGTGGCCTATGTCTCTCAAAACGCATCAGAAAAAGGTTCACAGGGGGAAGCGATTGGTCCCCCTCCTCCAAAAATTACCCCTGGGGCAAGGGAGATTTTACAAATGTTTTGAGTGCGGTAAAAGTTTCGACCGTTCCTCCAGTCTAATAAACCATCGGCGGACCCACACCAGAGAAAAAACGTATCCGTGCACCAGCTGTGAGAAGACTTTCATGTGGCCTCGCTCTCTTCTGAGACACCAAAAGATCCATGACACCAGGAAAGCAGGAAGCTCTTTGCCCCTAAATTCCACTCCAGAGGAGAAATCCTACGTTTGTTCCGATTGTGGGAAACACTTTGTCTATTCGTATCTCTTGAGTCGGCATCGACGCATCCACACTGGAGAGAAACCGTACAAATGTGCGAAGTGCGGCGAGAGCTTCAGGTGGGCTTCCTCGTTTAGCCTGCACCAAAAGAAGGTCCACCCGGACACGAAGATTGCTCATCTCATCCCAAGACAGGCAGACAGGAAGAAAAAACCTTATGGGTGTTCGGAGTGTGGAAAAGAATTCAGGAAACCATCCCACCTCTCAAGCCATCAGAATACTCACACCGGGGAGAGGAAGCACAAGTGCACCATCTGTGGGAAAGGTTTCTTCTGGCAGACTTCGCTGTCGCTGCATCACAAGCTTTTACATAAGACCAAGGAAAAGAAACCAGTCCCCGCTTTGCGACCTGTGTCTCAGGGACAAGACAATTCCAAACCCCCGCAGGTCCCCGCCGAAGGGAAAGCTTTCAAATGTTCCAAGTGCAAAGAGAGTTTCATGGGGCTTTCAGCACTTCTGCGACATAGAAAGATCCACGAGAGAGAAAAACTCGGGCTTTTTTTCCAAACGAGACCTGTCACCCCGGAGAAAACGTATCCCTGTACTGAGTGTGGGAAAAAATTTAATTGGCCATCCCGCCTCTTAAGACATCAGCGCATCCATTCACAGGAGAGGCCGTATCAGTGCCCTGATTGCGGAGAGAGTTTTAGATGGGATTCGGCTCTTAAAGCACATCAGGCGAAGATCCATAACCAGAAGCCGGCGGTCTCTTTCCTGCCTGAAGACGACGCGGACAAAGAGAAAAATCACATTTATGCCGAGTGTGGAGAAACCTTCTCCTCTGTATCATCTCTCGTAAAGCATCAGAGTATCCACGCGGGAGAAGAACTGGATAAACCCAGCCATGGCGAAGAGAATTCCCCATGGAATTCAGCCCTCCAAGAACACCCGAAGGCTTGTAAGGAAGAAAAACCAGACTCCCCGCTTCAAAAGCTACCCAGTAGAGGTGGAAGCACCTACCCTTGTCTCCAGTGCGGGAAACAGTTCTCCAAATCGAAGCTGCTGCAGAGACACAAACGAATCCACCTCAGGGACAGGCGTTACACCTGCACCAAGTGCGGGAAGCATTTCACGCAGGGTGCAAGCTTGAGAAGACACTGGTTCGCTCACCAAGAAGAAAAGTCGTTCCACTGCTCGCACTGCGAGAAAAGCTTCGTATACAAAGACAGTCTCAAGAGGCACGAGAAGTCCCACGCGGGGCTGGCAGAGTTCACCGTGCAAGTGCTGGATAAAGAATTCCTAGCCACCCCGGAACCGGCCCAATGCCAAACGGCGGAGCCCAGCGTGTGCAGCGGTCCCCTAGAACTCCAAGAGGAGAAACCCGTCCCATCCTTGAATGCTCCGGAAGTGTTGGCGACATGATCTCAAAAGGGGCCAATTGATCACAGAAGCCGACGTCGAGAAATTGTGCTGCAGATTTTGGCAGCAAACCTGAGGAAAGATCACCAACCCTGTCAAGTTTTAACGGAAGGAAACCTTCCAGAATCTTCTCTGAACCGTAACATAATGAAAGCCATGGTTCCACCAAAGGGGGCAGAATATCAGCAAACCCAAATGGAGTTTTGCCTGTCTGGGGCCATGTTGTTTTGTGCTCCCCGGCCCCTTGATTATAGTTCAAAAATTCCAACATGGATGCCCATCCGACATCCGACTTTTGTTATTGAACACAACATCGTATCAGTTGTTCTCTTGTATATTGGTAGATGCAGATAGTTGATTTGAGTTGGGTGGGGCAAGAGGGAACAGACTCAGGGTTTTAAGTATATTGACAACAAATATATGTGAAAAACAAGGAAATACGTGTGTGCCATGTCACTGAAAATACTCCGTTATCGATTCTTGTGTCAATGTCCTCAGAGGTGTCAGTAATACAATGGTTGGGAATTCTTTTGCATCGTTCGACTTTTATTGTCATGATCGCAATCTTGTTATTTGTTCAATTTTATGGAAAGAGTCTACTAATAAACGCAACATGCAGAATGAAGCCGTGGGGCTTGTGCTGTTCCTCCTTAGCCGTGACTTGAATGCCCCACATCATAGTTCCAGGGTACATTTGCGAACACCCGCAGATTCAATCTTGATGCCCCCGGGGAGATGAGAAGAAACTTGGAAGTTGTTACGAGGGTTGGGCTAAGCCATGATTTGTTTGAGTCATGGTCTGTTGAATAACTACAAGTAGCTGGGCTTCCTCAACATGATGTTAAGAAGCAGAGCTCATGCTAAGCTGTAATTGGGGAAGGAGTTGGTTGTTTTATTTGAATGTTCTATGCCTGTGGTGGCAAACCTTTGATGTGTGCCAGAGGTGGCACGCAGAGCCATCTCTCCGGGCACACGAGCCTTGGTCCTCTTGGTTCCGGTGCGCCGGCTAGCTGATCCTCGCACAGGAAGAGCAACTGCCAAGTGAACAAGTGCGCCCAGGAAAGATGATCTTCCAGTTTCCAGCGCACACATGCACACCACTAGCTGACCAGCACGCCGGAAGAGCAAGGGAAGCAGACCAGCTGACCTGCACGCCGGAAGAGCAAAGGGAGCAGAGTTGCCGGGCGGGGCGGGGCTTCCCTCCCACCCCATCCGAGTGGGATTCTTGCACAGCCCTCCAGCCCATGGTACTGATGTACATCTGCGATCCGGAGCGCCTGGCCAGCTCAGAGACACGAGGCAGCGTTTGCTGGCTGGGTGGCCAGCCACCTCTCCCACTGCTCTTGCCGGGAGCGAGGGGGCGGCAGCAGTTCTCACGTTGCCGCTTCTGGCCGGGATGCTGGAGCAGCCAGGAGGTGGAGGAGAAGCTGCCGTTGGGGAGGCAAGCTGCCCCAGGAGGGCCAGAGGAGAGTGCAGTTCCTCACACATGGAGTCGCCGCCGATGGCCCGGCTTGCCAGCGGAGGAGCAGCTGCAGGGGCCGACCAGTTGCTCCTGCCCCTCTCCCTGTGGCTGCCGCTGCTCTCCTGGGGCTACAGGGCTACACAGGAGCGGAGTCCACATAGGAACATCTGTCTGGCACGGGGGCAAGAGGCGTGCTGGCCAAGAAGCGGTTGTGCTCCCTTGGCAGGCGTGGCGGGAGGGATGAATGCACTGGCTTGTTCTCGGTGGCGGGCTGGGGGTGGTGGTGCTTCATCCCGGCCAGAGTTTGGATTTCTCTTCTGGTTTCCGGCACATGCGCGCCAGAAACCGGAAGACCAGGTGCCCGCTGGAAACCAGTAGCTCATGCTGGGCGGCTGCTCTTCTGGTTTCCAGCACGTGTGGTCTCATGCTCCCGTGTTGGCAGTCGGTGCCGAAAATGTTTGCCAACACCGTTCTATGCTGTTGAATTCTGCCAGTTGTTGTGGATGGGCTGGATGAAGTACAGGTTAATCCTCAAAGTACAACCGTTCAGTTTAGCACTGAAAACTGTCTTATGACCATTTGTCACACTTACAACCTTAGCAGCCTCTCCATGGTCACGTCATCAAAATGCAGACGCTTGACAACTGATTCATGTTTACGACAGTTGCAGTGTCCCGGGGTTATGCGATCACCTTTGGCGGCCTTCTGACTACACAGTCAACGGGGGATCCAGATTCACCGAATATCCATGTTACTCACTTAACAGTTGCCGTGATTCGCTTGACAAATCGCGGCAGGAAAGGTGGTAAACTGAGGCAAAACTCGCTTAACAAAACGTCTTGCCTAGCAACAAGAATTTGAGGCTCAATTTTGCTCGTACGTTGAGGACTACCTGCGTATAGATGCAGAATAAAATGAGACTGATCTTGCGGGATGATTTTTTTTTAAAAAGAATATATACACAACTCTCACATTGCCGTAGGGAGGAAAGCATGTTTTATTATAAAGCCTGTTACAGGGGTTCCATAGCTGAAGAGGAGGAGGAGCTGAAGACGAGACAGCGAAAGAAGCAGGAAGAATACATTTCATATAGAGGAACCACGTTGGCTCGAGAGACAAGCAGAAGTGCCCCACAATGCAAATATTCGACATTTTCCTGAGCTTTTGGCCAGGGTCCGTTCTCCGAGCTTGCTGTTTAATTTGTTTCGTTACCCGTTCTGACCTAGGCTTCCCCAAAAAGCGTGAAGCAGATTCCGGGTCCCAACAAAACCCCTTTTATTAAACAAATGTGAATTCCTCTCATTCACATTCAGCAAAGGCCTGGCATGCAAGTCTTTCAAAGGTGAAGTTATGACCACAGACCTTATCTAGCTCGGAAAGCTGCCATGTAAATATTTTCCAAAGGAAAGGCTTGGCACAGAGTCTCTGAGAGTCACAGGCAGATCTTCACACTCCTGAAATGAACAAATGAATGAATGGTTTCCGGCAAAAACCCACTCCCCTTTCACTCCTCTTTTTCTTCCTAGGGGAGGGGCCATTCACTATCCACCTGCGGCTTTACTGCCAAGTT